ACCGAAGAGGAGGGAGTTACAGTAGTCCAGACGGGAGGTGACGAGACTGTGGACGAGGATGGAGGTGGAGTTGGGGGAGAGGGAGGGACGGAGCCGATTGATGTGGTGGAGGTGGAAGTAGGCAGTCCGAGTGGTATGGCTGATGTGTGATTTGAAAGAAAGAGTACTGTCAAGGACGACACCCAGACTCTTGACCTGAGGTGAGGGGGAAACTGAGGAACTGTCGATGGGAAGGGAGAGACTGTCAACTTTGGATAGGGTGAATTTTGAACCTAATAGAAGAATTTCTGTTTTCTGACTGTTAAGTTGGAGAAAATTTGCGGTGAACCAGGCTTTAATTTCGGATAGGCAGGTGATGAGGGAGGTGGGTGGGAGGGTGGAGTTTGGTGAACTGGAGAGGTAGAGCTGGGTGTCGTCCGCGTAGCAGTGGTATTGAATGTTGAATTTATGGAAGATGGAACCAAGGGGGAGGAGGTAGGTGATGAACAGCAGGGGCCCCAGGACAGGTGTGCCCCTGGGGCACACCTGAGCTGACTGGGGGGTCGGATTTGAAGGATTTGAGCTGTATGAACTGTGTGCGGTCTGTGAGGTAGGAGTGGAACCAGCGGAGGGGAGTGTGGGTGATGCCGATGGAGGAGAGTCTACGGAGGAGGATGGGATGGGAGATGGTGTCAAAGGCTGCACTGAGGTCGAGGAGGATGAGGATGGAAAGTGAACTGGAGTCAGCTGCAGTGAGAAGGTCATTGGTGATTTTTAGCAGTGCGGTTTCGGTGCTGTGGCGGGGGCGAAAACCAGATTGGAAGGGGTCGTAGAGGGAGTTCTGGGTTAGGTGGGTGTGTAGTTGACTCTGAGTTTCCATTAAACCTGCTATGTGAAACGGACCCCAGGTGAACTATAGCAACATCGAAAAGGAGGCTCTTGCATTGCTGTGGGCCTTGCAGCACCTCGAGGTCTACGTTGGTTCGAACTCTGACCCAGTGGATGTGTTCTCGGATCACAATCCGCTAGTGTTTTTGTCGCGCATGCGCAAAAACAACCAGCGCCTCATGCGCTGGTCCCTGTTGTTGCAGGACTTTAATATTGAGGTTCGTATTAAAGGGTTAGATAATGTTGTCACAAACGCCTTGTCCAGAATGGGGTCTTAATTGATCCAACATTTCTTTTAGGGGAAGAAATGCTTGATCTTTGGTGGGAGGGTGTTATGATTGTGTCATTTAAACTGTATTAATTATTGTATTGTTTGGCATTTTATGGTGTAAAGGAGAGTGTTGTTTCTTCCCTCCTCTCTTTCTCTGCTTCTCTGGGCTGTACTGCAGAGGTGGTGCGTCCAGATTGGACAGCAGCGTGGAGATGCACCAGACTTACATTGGAGGACTGCTGTGGAGTGGAGGCGCGTGATTGGCGGAGAGCTGATGGGCGGCATTTTTAAACTCGGCTGCAGGCATAGGGATGCCGGCTCACCTTCGTCACTCCCAACATCTCGTCAGAACACAGCGTTTTTCGAACGATTATTGAGTTGAGCTTTACTGTGTGATTTTGGAGTGTATTAGTAAAAGTAGTAGGTATATGTAGGGGAGCGTAAGCCCTGGTTTTCTCCTGTTTTGGGGTAAGGAGTCAAATTTAGGTTTGTTTTATTTTTTATTGTAGATGTCAGGTAAGGTATTTTGATTTATAAGAGTGTTTTTTTGTAACTGTTTGTTTTGCTTCCTCTCCCTGAGGTATCGCTTGAGTTATTTGTAAATAAAAATAAAAGGAAAAAGACAGTATAAACTGATCGTTTTAGACTGCAATCCTGTTTTTTGTGCTGTGTCATCTTGAGAGTGACGGAGGAGGGGTCAAACTTTTTATGTGACCTCCAGTATCCCCTAGGCTGGTTGTTACAGCAACCAATTTTCTTAGTGCTTTATAGGACAACTGTTGATGTCTACTGTGGAGTCATTTTTTGACGAAGTTCTGTATCTTCTCTTGGACAACCCATGCCTATCTATTCTAAATTCATATGATGTGTTGATATGGGACCTTGGGTTACTCTTCTGAACATGTGAAATTAGAGAATCAGAATCAGAAGAATCAGAATGCCCTTTAATGTCATTATACTGGAGTACATTGAGATTGAAGAGCTTGTCCATTTCCAGTGAAATAGAAGGAAAAGAAGAAGAGAAGAGAAACATGAACAAATTTGAAGGATACAATAGAAATAGGTACAAAATAGCAACAGGCCGAAAGAGTAAGAGTTTTGTGGAATAAGGGCCAGGAATGACACTAGGAAGAGCATCTGAGCATCTCATACATCACGTTGAAAGCGTCAGAAAAGAAAAACTAAGGGAAGAGGAAGCGAATAAATCACTGTCTAACAAGCTAACACAACTGCAGCTGATCGAAATCAGTGCAAAAAAAAGAAAGAAAAAAGTAAACTCCAACCCCTAGTAGTGATGACAGCACCGCATCCACCCATGCAATTAACTCCGGTGACAGTTCCTCAACTCACAGTGGTCAACCCCCAGCCAAGTATACAGACTCAAAAGCCAAGTTCACAGCCATATCCAGACCATGGCCAGACAGGGCCTGCACAGATGTCAGTCACTCCTACAGTCCAGGTGCATGTTGACAACCCAGAATTTCACAATATTCCCAAAGGGCAAGGAGGACCAAGAAGAGACACATTTCGATGGCCTCTGTGGAATGGAAGTCCCCTGCAGCAAAGAGATTGCTCTGTAGCGATTTGAATTTATAATAAATGTCTTAAGATTAATAATCTTAATTTATGACATTTATGCACTCGTTGAAAGGGGCACCACCCACCCTGGAAAATGGTGGGAAAACAAAGAAAAACAAAAGTTTAATTCAGAAATCAAACATGAAGTCAAGCTTAAATTAATCAATCTCATATCTCAAGCCAAAATTCTCTTTTCAGGGACTCGACTTCTGGAAGAACACTAACAGACAAGAATTAAGAAAAATAAATGATCTGTTTATTACAGGATAAATGATGGTACAACATCCAGGCAAGAAATGATGAGATAATGAGGATGAATAATAATAGGTGAATAATAAAAGATTCTGAGTCAGGCTAGGGGCACTAAAGTTAATGATAGTGATTGAATATGCTCTAACATATTAACCTACATTAACTCTGGTGTAAAGCTAAATTTGGATGTGGATTTGGAGGAATCTAGGATTACTAGAATAAGTGAATATCTGAGTCATGACCACATGTGTTGCATCAGCCCTGTTTAGAGCTCTGGAGGTTTGCATACTTAAGTGAGACTGGTCCTTGGAGAAGATGGAGCAGGTTTCGAAAGTCCAGGGCTACTGGCGGTTCAGCTTGGATGACAACTGAAGTCAGCTGAAAGATGGGCCAGGAGTTGCAGCACTCAGGCCCGAAGCAAAAAACAGCGCCTTGTTCATTGTTTGGATGCTCCATTAGTCTCACTCAAAAGTCTGACACAGAGGATGACTTTTGGCCTGCTTGGTGGCATATAGAGGTGGCTTTGAAATCATTCAGATGATTTAGGAAAAGAGGCTTGATGGCCAGTCAAAACTAGATCAAAAATGGCTTTGCGAAATTAAAGAAAAATCAATTAAGGGCTTAATCTTGAATTGTTATGTGCACAAAAAGTTGACATTTCAAAACTTGAACTAAGGCAATGTTTAAGCAAAATCAATGTGAATGAACATGTGGCATGAAACTTAAAAGTGTAGAGGTCTAAGAAAAAGTAAGACTAAGTAGTAAAATAAGAGGGAAGAGAAAACAAAGAAGAGGAACACAGGAGGGGATGAGCAGTGAAGAGAGTAAAGAGACTGCGCACCCCAACTTTACTGGTTTTATCTCCTTCACGCTTGGAGTGTCTCTGGGGTGTGTGTGTGTGTGTGGAGAGAGGAGGGGTCGTGGCCTTCAAGATCCCTTATGACTTGATCTAACTTATACTTTCGGCTAATAAAAGAGTCAGATCTGATACTCACTATGATTAATATCATTGAATGTTTGGTTTCATGAAAAATGATTTGATACTAAACACAAATGAAGAAATGTAGGATTAAATCAAAAATTGTCATTATGTTTCAAGTATCACATTGAACTGTAAGAGGCCGAGAGTGTGTGGACCCAAAAGCAGAAGACGTGAGGCAGTTGTTCAGTTTCCAAAAGGCAAACTCTTTTATTCCAACAAAAAACCTGGCAGGGTCAAAATCAGAGCAGCAAATAATCAGGCGACAAAAACCAGTGGGGCAGGCAAGAATCAGAAATCCAGGGCGATCAAAACAGGTCATACACGGAGAGCAGAGATATATCAAAAACGCGCGAGAGCTTGTACTAAAGTGACAAAGACAATCTGGCAGGGAAGAGCTAGTGAGGAGGGGTTAAATAGAGAAGGGGACAAGACACAGGTGAAGCCAATGGAGTAATTAACTAAGGCGGGAAAAGAACAAAGACCGGAAGTAAAGGTAACAGCAACACAGGGAAAACAGGATCTTCAAAATAAAACAGGAAGTGGATTCACAAGCACAGATCATGACATGAACATGCTAAATTACTCTGAAATAGAACAGATAGTAACACATAGAAACTGTGAACAACAAAAGAGTAAACACATGTAGATAAACTTCATCATGGTTAATAATGGATTCTAAATACTCACATTCTGATTACTTAGTGACATTATAACCACCTTGTGGTTAAAAATATTAAATAAATGATAAAAATATAAACCAAACATTTCTGAACTATTTCTATTACTTCGAGTAAAATTACCATTTATAGTCAATAAATTTAAAGCTTAAAAGTTCATGAAACAGTCTGAAAAGCTGTTGGTCTAAAGAAATTACAGAATTAAGGATTTATAAAGGAGAACTTGGCTGGACTCAGAAAAACAGAAGACTAAACAACAGCTCAAAAATCAGACTTTTTATTGCCTCTCCAGAGACATACAAAAAAAAAACACACTCTAAAGAATCTCCTCAGGCTGTGGCTGTTGGAGGCTGACTACCCACTGTCCAGCAGCATGGAGGTGGGTGAGGCAGCAGGGCACAAATCTGGAAACAGAACAAGAGAGGAGACGGTGAGAAGAACTCAAAAAGTCACAGTGGGCCAGAACTTGCAGCAGAAGAACAGTAATCTGGCGGAGTAGTGAAGGTTGAGCCAGTCTTTTATGGAGAGGTGAGTTGATTGGAGCCTGACATCAGGTGTGCCCTGCTGTACTCAGACAGAAAGTAGGTCAGCCATGTCCCCCAGCCACAGCCTGCACTGCTGAGAGGACCACAGGAGAAAACAGATTAAGAGCAGAAACAGGAAACTTAAACTAGGTCCCAGGATGAGAACGAGACTTGTTGACCCTCTTTATCGTCCTGGGGCTGGTGTCCGATGGCGATCTGCTGGCAGCTGTCCTTATCAGAGCAGCACGGGCCTCCCTCCAGACTCAGCGTGCTCTTCAGAAATGGGCTTGGGCTGAAGGAACCGCCACCTCCCTCTCCTGACTGGGAAATGAGGGAGGTTGGAAAAAGTTTCTTACCATGAAGGGAGACATGTCTGTGGCTGAGGAAACCAGAGAGTTATGGGAGTACTCTATCCATGGCAGGTGCGTTGACCAGGAGGTCAGGAGTGTTTTTAATGGCATCTGTCTTTTTTAAACATCTGTGATCATGCTGAAAGCTGAATAAACATAAACATAAACATAGATGGGAGACCACACAGCGCAGGGATGATTCCAGGCTCTGGTTAGCCTGTTCCATCTGGCCATTAGACTGGGGATGGTAACCGGAGTTTAGGCTGGGGTCACTCCTAGCATCTCACAGAGAGCCTTCCATACTCTTGATGTAAATTGGGGGCCGTGGTCTGAAACAATGTCTTGAGGGAGCCCATGGAGGTGAAACACATGTAGAACCAGCAGGTCAACTTTCTCCATTGCTGATGGGAGCTTGGGTAGGGGATGAGGTGAACTGCCTTAAAGAACCTGTCTAAAATGGTCAAGATGGTGGTGTTGCCTTCGGATGGGGGTAAGCCAGTGACAAAGTCTACTGTGATGTGTGACCAGGGATGGTAAGGAATGGGCAAGGGTTGGAGGAGGCCAGCTGGTGCAAGGACTTGTTTTGAGCACAGGTGAAGCAAGCTGCAATAAACTCTCTGGTGTCACCAGAGGCACTGTCGGAGCAGGAAGAGAGTCTGGCAAACCCCAGGATGGCAGGACATCTTGGAAGAGTGCCCCCACTGGAGCACTGGTGTTTGTGCAGGGGGTGGTACATACATTCGACCTTTGGGGCAGTCTTCAGGCTTTGGGTCCCCCTGTTGTGCATCCTGAACCAACTGCTCCACCTCCCACCTGGCAGCCCCAACAACACAGGAGGTGGGTAAAATGGTCTCTGTGGCTGCCTCTTCCTCCTCTGGAGAAAACTGCCAGGATAGGGCATCTGGTTTGACATTTCGGGAGCCAGGAAGGTAGGTGAGGGTGAAGTTGAATCTTCCCAAGTAAAGGGCCCACCGAGCTTACGGGAGTGTAACCTCCGGGCTGAACAGAGGTAGGGGAGGTTCTTATGGTCTGCCCAAATGATAAAGGTGTGGGTTGCTCCTTCCAGCCAGTGCCGCCAATCTTAAAGTGCCTGAATGACCGCCAGCAACTCTCGGTTCCCCACATCATAGTTTCTCTCCACTGAAGGCAGGCAGCGGGAGAAGAATGCACAGGGGTAAAGTTTCTGATCTGCAGGCAAGCGCTGGGAGAGGACGGCCCCCACTCCTGGATCTGAGGCATCGACCTCCACGACAAATTGCGGGGCAGGATCTGGGTGGATTAAAATAGGTGCATTAACAAACTTAGATTTTAGTTTTTCAAATGCGGCCTGGGCAGCAGGGGACCATTCAAACAGTCTCTTTATAGTTGTTAGCTGAGTGAGAGGGGCTGCTGTTCAGCTATAGTCTAGGATAAACCTCCTATAGAAATTAGCAAACCCTAGAAATCTCTGTTATTGCTTGCGTGTTGCTGGAACGGGCCACTCAGCAATTGCTTTTACCTTCTCAGGTTCTGGCTTCAACTGCCCTTTCTCGACCACATAACCTAGGAAAGATACAGAGGTGACCTGAAATTTACATTTTTCAGCCTTCACAAACAGCTTGTTTTCAAGGAGTCTTTGTAGAACCAGCTTTACATGTTGCACATGCTTATCATAGCTCCTGGAGAAGATCAATATGTCGTCCAAATAGACGAATACAAATCTGTTTATCATGTCTCTAGGCACATCATTTACTAACGCCTGAAAAACAGTGGGAGCATTAGTTAAGCCAAATGGTACCACAAGGTATTCAAAGTGACCCAGATGTGTGTTAAAAGCAGATTTCCACTCGTCCCCCTCATGGATTCTGACCAAGTGATAGGCGTTTCGTAAGTCCAGCTTGGAGAATATGGTTGTGTCATGGAGGGGAGTGAAAGCTGAGTCAATGAGAGGAAGGTTTTTTTTTTTTTTTTTACGGTGGTGTCATTCAGTCCAGTGTAGTCTATGCAGGGTCGCAAGGTCTTATCTTTCTTCTCCACGAAGAAGAAACCTGCTCCTATAGGAGATGAGGAGGGTCGGATGAGGCCTACAGCAAGAGAATCTGTGATATAGGTTTCCTCCTGTCAGGAGGAGGAGAAGGAGGAGGAGGAGGGTGAATAGCACTAGTGCCAGCAGAACAGCATTTACTGAACATTCTTAACAAATGTTTCTCTCTCGCTTTGTCTGTCCATCTCTCTCTCTCTCTCTCTCTCTCTCTCTCTCTCTCTCTCTCTCTCTCTCTCTCTCTCTCTCTCTCTCAGCAAATGGCATTGTTCTATAACAATCTTGTTTTTCCACCACCAGCTGCACCACCAGAGCTGGCGGGGACCTCTCAAGAGGTGCACAGCTTCTTTGCTAGTTGTGTTGAAGATGAGGAGAGGGAGGACAGTGGTGGTGAGGTGGAGTCATCAGGCCGTCAGTTGGTGATGCAGTACCTGAGCAGCAACCCCAAGACCCTTGGTCTGACTCTACTTGGTGTCTGGAAGGAGATATCTAGTGCTGTTGCAAGAAGACGCTGGCAATCCCAGCAACAAGCACTCCCTCAGAGCACTCGTTCAGTATTGCTGGGAGACTAATTGAGGAGAGGCATACCAACCTTGATCCAGAAAATGTGGATAAACTCTTGTTCCAACATAGCAACATTTAAAGTTAAAGTAAAGAAGAACTTCTTATGCCTTGTTCGAGGACAGTTATCCCAGTTGGCCTTGCATTTCTGGACAGTGTTACATTGTGTTTATATTTATAGGTTTATATAAATGGGTTTGCTGCTGTTGTCATCCCATATTACCTCAACAAGAGAGTTCACTTTAACATTATGCACTACATTATGTGCAATACATTATGCACTTTATGTTCTTTTTTGTTTACTAAACTTTGGTATGAAAGCCTATGTTTTTTTAACAGTGTTTTTCTAAAGGCTGTTCAAGTCAGCCTTTAATAAAATACAACATTGAATGCCAAGTTTGGGTTTATTCAACTAGGATACTCATTGCCGATTGTTTTAAATGGAGTAAGGCATCATTAAACTGTTCTGCTGCCATATTGGTATCTTAAAAAAGCCATCTATTGCCTTCCCTAATGACTAACTTACCATATTGTGCTGAATATAGCTTGTGGGACAGGGTAAAATACATTGTTCTTTTAACATGAATTAGTCTTGGAAATCTTAAGTGGCACAATACAGTATTTAAAAAAACAAAAAACAATAAAACAACAAAACAACATACTCGTGTATCAAGAACTCCAGCTTCCCTCTTTCCCCATCAGGCTCATCTATCAAAACTGTAGTTTTCTCTGGGAAATCCCAAACTATTCCCCTCACTCAACCAGTTCCTACGAGATTTGCTGGAAAGACTGTTGTAGCACCCCTTCTCTACTCTGCTCAGACTCCTATCAATCTCTTGGGGCAAGACATATTATGTTCCTTGAAAGCTAACATCATGTAAACGCCTGATGGCAATTGGTTGGATCTGCCCCCAGATCCCTTAAGGTCAGCAATTCTTACAATGCCTCTACTCACAGCCAACAACTCCTCCTCAATTGAACAAGCAGCAGTGTATTGGATCAAGCTAATCATGCAGCAGAACCTCAGTCACCTCTGCATTGTACTTTGGTGTATCACACCTTTCAAGATCACTTTGACTACTAAAGACATTTATATCATCTATGCAACGGGCCAGAGGCATAATGAGGCTGATGGAGGAGGCAGACCTGAGAGTCCGGGTGGGTGGGTGAGTTGATGTGGAGGAGTTCAGAGAGGTATGGAGGAGCGAGGTTGTGGATGGCCTTACATGTGTTGAACAGAATTATGTGATTCTGTTCCACAGAATTTTGTAATTGGAAGCCAGTGAAGTTGGCGGAGAACAGGGGTGATGTGACTAATAGATGGTGTTCTGGTGATGATACGTAGAAGCTTATGGGTAGACTTATGGGGGAGCCCAATGAGAAGGGAGTTGCAATAGTCCAGGCGGGATGTAACCATAGAATGGACCAGGATGTTGGTCCAGGCACCCCAGGATGGAGTGCTGTTGGTGGTGAGTGACAAACAGAGACGATTGATGTTTCGAGGATGGAAGTAGGCTGACCGGGTATGCAATTAATGTGAGTTTGGAATAACAGAGTGCTGTCAAGGACGACACCCAGACTCTTGACCTAAAGGCAGGGGGAAACCGAGGAGGAGAACCTTGGTTTTATCACTGTTAAGTTTGAGAAAGTTGGATGTGAGCCATGATTTGATTTCCTGTAAACAGTCACAGATGGAGGAAGGCGGAAAGGTGGTGGTGAGTTTGGTGGGGAGGTAGAGCTGGATGTCATCTGCAAAGCAATGAAAATTGGTATTGAATTTACGGAAAATGTATCCAGGAAGGAGGAGATAGATGATGAACAGGAAGGACTGAGCCTTGGGGGACACCTGAGGAGAGGGGAGTTTGGGATTTGAAATCTTTCAATTGAATAAACTGAGTACGGCCAGTGAGGTAAGATGTAAGATGAACCAGTCCAGGGGTGTGTCTGATAAACCAATAGATGCTAGTCTGTCGAGGAGGATGGTGTGGTAGATGGTGTCGAAGGCTGCACTTAGGTTGAAAAGGATGAGGATGCTTAACTGACCGGAATCAGCTGCCATCAGGAGCTCATTGGTGGTTTTTAAGAGGGCTGTTTCGGTGCTGTGACGTGGGTGGAAACCAGGTTGAAGCTGTTTGTATAGGTTATTGTTGACGAGGTGTGTATAAATTTGTGCAGCCACTGCTTTTTCAAAGATTTTGGAGAGAATTGGCAAGTTAGAGATCGGGCGGAGGTTACTGAAGTTGTTGGGATCTGAGCCAGGTTTCTTGAGTATGGTCACAACAGCAACAGATTTAAGCAATGATGGAACATTACCAATAGTGAGAGAGCAGTGTATGATGGCAGTTATCAGGTGCAACAGAGAGGGGAGGCTGGCTTTGACTAAAAAAGTTGGCAGGGGGTCATGTTGGTGGGTAGATGTTTTAGATTTCCAGATGAGTTCTGATATATCAGCAGCAGACGGAAGTTGAAAGTTTGCAACTGGATGAGAGAGGGGAGGATGGAGAACTGGAGAAGATGGACGACCAGGGGTGAGAGGGATCAGTTACTGGTGGATCTTGGATATTTTCATGTTGAAGAATTCCATCAATGAATTACAGTGATCAGTGGAGTAAACATGTGGAGGGAAAGAGTCCGGGGGGTGCAGAGTATTATTCATTAATGAGAAGAGGGCCCTGGTGTTCCCATCACCAGCACTGATAAGTCCTGCAAAGTATTGGAATTTGACTGAGGAGATTGTGTCTTTGTAGTGGAGAATGTGGGTGTGGTACATTTGTTTGTGAATAGTGAGTCCAGTTTTCCAGTAAAGTCGCTCCAGTTGATGACCTTTGGCATTGAGCTGATGTAGCTGAGGGGAATACCAGAGAGAAGAGTGGGTGAATGAAACAGTCTGAGTTTTGACAGGAGCCAGTAAATTCAGCAGAGCAAGGAGAGCAACATTGTAATGAGAAACAAGTTGATCAGGAGTACATAAGAAGCTGATGCTGGGGAGACTGTCGATACCTGTTGTAGGGGCTGATAAGTTAATGTTTTTGATATTGCAGAATGGGATAAGACGTGAATGATTAGTTCTGGATAGTGTGAGGCTACTGTAGAAAGAAATTAGCATGTGATCAGAGATGGGCAGATCGGCAGCAGAGCAGTTAAAAGAAGTGACACCAGAGCAGTAAACCAGATCCAAAATGTGTCCTTTAGAGTGGGTAGGGAAGTCGATGTACTGTTCTAGTCCAAAACTGTCCAGGCAAGATATGAAATCCTTGGTGAGAATATGATTGATGTTGTTCATATGTACACTACAGGCCAAAAGTTTGGAAGCAAGATCTGATTTGTACAAAAAAAGATCATAGTTTCATATATATAATTTGCAACACAATAAACATGACTATTGTGTAAAGAGTAACTTATCAGAAGACATTTTGATGATAATTATTAGGTATTTGAGTTATTGTTGCTTAGACTTTGCTTTCTTTAAAGTAACTTCCTCTGGCTTTAACAACAGCTTGGCATATACCAGGCATTCGTTCCACAAGTTTTTTAAGGTATGTTCCAGGCATTGCATTTCAAGCTTTCTTAAGTTCATTAAAAAGAGACTGCTGATTCGTGGGACGTGTTTTTTCTGACTGATCGATCCAATTCATCCCGCACAAGCTCAATTGGAGAAAGGTCTTGAGACTGAGGGGGCCACTCCATCTTTTGAAGAACACCTTCCTCTTCTTTTTTGCCTAGGTAACCCTGACAGAGTGCTTAGGGTCATTGTCTTGAGGCAAAACAAACTTATGAGCCACAAGTCTGAGTCCAGATGGAACAGCACGGTGCTGGAGGATGGAGTGGTACTGTTCCTTCTTCCTGATACCCTTTACGTCAAACAAATCTCCTACTCCATCACCTGCAAAACAACCCCATACCATGGAACTACCACCTCCATGCTGAATTGTGGGTGTAAAATATGGTGCTTTCAGCGATTAACCAGTTTGTCTGCAGATATAGACTCTGCGTTTTGAACCAAACAGTTCAAAATTGTTTCTAGTCATCATAAGTCCAATTTTTGTGAGCTTTTGCCCACTCATATCTCTTTTTCTTGTTCTGTGGACGAAGTAGTGTTTTTTTGCAGATACACAACCCTTCAGACCAGACTTTCTCAAACGTCATTTCACGGTTGTCAGAGATATGGGTTTCGACCTTGTCATATTAATTTCCTCCCTTATTTTTGGTGCTGTCTTTAGCCGATCTCTCTTACTGGTGACAATGCTATGTTTATCCTCTGCTTTTGTAGTAACTCTCTTTCGTCTAGGTCTTTTTTTATCATCATAACTTCCAGGTTCCTCTAGTCTCTTCAGAGTGTAGTGGACTCCTTTGTTAAACACCTTAAGGCGTTTTGCAATTTCTCTTTCTGTGTATCCTTCTTTCCTCAATGTACAAATCTGTACTTTTGTTTCTTTACTCAGTTGCTTCTTTCTTGCCATTTTTGCGGTAGTTTAAACGCAGTTGAGATTTATTAGGATTTTTGTATGCAGACTCTCAAAAGCCAAAAATTTAAACTGAATAATCCAAACTGTGATTTGTTTTTTTGCTTTTGCACTGAAGTTGTGACTCTTGCAAATGTTTTCAACCCTAAAACTAAGCCCTTATTATCTTTTGCTGACATATATTTAGCAATGGTCTGTCAATGTATATCTAAAGTTAAATGGAGTAAAATGGTGCATTTCCATGAAAGCAACATCTGATCATGGAGTAAATACATCCCAAAATACATAAAACTCATGCTGGATTTTAAAAAAAGCATTGTGAACAAAAACTTGAAGTTACTCCCAACTGTTCAGCCTGTAATGGCCTTGCTTCCAAATTTTTGGCCTGTAGTGTATATTAAAACACCAAGAAAAATAACATTGGAGGAGAGTGAGCAGGTATGGGTGAGAAAGGCAGAAAAGTCATTGATAAAATCCTTGTTTAAAATCCACTGTTTCAAATGATGGGTATGCAGGTGCTGTGAGACACGAGAACTTTAAACTCTCGT